TTCATCCATATAAACAAGTTTGTTAAATGAAGTTATATGAGATATAATATAAAAGTGTGAAACAATTTAGTTACATGAAACCGTATGGGATATAAAATACTTTTTTGTAAAGCTCACTGTGAATTTTATGTAAAGCTCCATATCGTCAGTGTGAAGCTCCACGAATTACAAATATTTCATCATATTTTACATATAAAAAAGAATAAACAATTAATTACCCGTGTGGTCATTTACCATTATTATCATTTAAGTCGGTATAGTGTAAGTTAAACAACTCGTAAACCGCATAAACCGCATTCAAACCGTACAAACCGTCCGCATAAAACCGCACCTCATAATGCGGTTTACTACCTTCGCGGTGCGGTTTGTGGTTTCCAAATAACAGAAACCGCATATGCGGTGCGGTTTTGACTATGAACCGCACCAAACCGCACCGCGCACACCCCTACCAAAAACCACTAAAAGGGCAACAAAGTGTAAGATTTTATAACAGAAGGTGGTAGTTTGAATGGACCGTGATAGTTTAGTGGGGCGAAGTGAACATCTCTGTTCTTGGGGCAAATTCACATTCCTCAAACCAGTGAAAGTTTCAGTCTTTCAGACGACTGACCTAGATTGTGGAATCCTAAATTCTATCGATAAATGAAGGATTGAAAGTACGGCTTTGAAAAATTAGAAATCATACGTGCGTTGACGATGGATTCGCTTTTAGTCCAGAGAAGGATAAAATTGGATTTCTATGGCGTTTCGTTTCTGCTGCTACAGATCGTGGCATGTTTAAATCGTTTACTCCCATTAGCGTCTGGTAACATCTTCTTTTCACCATTGACTCTTACTGATTGCCTTCCTTGTTGTCTTTATTCACACACACACACAAACGCGTTGACATGATTGGTTGGTGATACTGTGATTTGTGAAATTATGATAAATAAGATCGTGCAATTGTATTGAGACGTGTTCAGTGAACCGTTGCTCCCAAGTGAGTCTTCGTTGATGAACCATGCCTAAATCCCTCTATTTCTGTTCATCAAACATGAAAAAAAAGGGAAACTAAAAGAAGAATAAATTATCCAACAGAAGCACTCAGGATTAATTCTCCCTTGGAATAACATTGTTAGGTGATATCAGACCTGGGCATGAGTACATATAAATGCAAAGTTGGATGCAGATATCTCAATAAGTAATGGTTTAGGGGCATTCATATTCTATTTACCTTGGATGATTTGGTTTTTCTTCTGGCTCTGCATCACTTTAGTTTGCATTCTTAGAGGATGCTTTCAAGGTCATATATAAACCAAAAGTTGAAGAGTAACTCCTCATTTACACAGATTACAAAACAACATAACAACAGAAAATCAGGAAACTGCTATTGATTTCTAAAAGTTAACTGAGAGAGTTACCGATCCATTACAAGTTTCTGCACCTTACTGTCTAGTTCCTTCTGTTTATATAAAGAATAGAATAGTAGCATCTAACTACTAACCAAAAAGAAAGAATGTTAATCGTAGAAGTGAAAAGACAAAAGTACCCTCGTAACTTGGGTTCAACACACATATCAAACACTAGGTCAATTTGCCATCGACTATCCCTTGCCTTGAAGTTGGGGTACTAAGGCTATGTTTGGCATACTAGTTGGTATCCGAAAAGCTAGCTGATAGCTGAAATCTAGCTATTAAATAAAAAGCTAGCTGGTAGCTAAAAAGCTAGTTTATAAAAAATAATGTTTGGTATAGTAGCTGAAAGATATAAAATGACATAACAGGACATTTAAAAGAATGTGTTTTTATAACTAATTAAGGGGTATATTTGGAAAATTTTAAAAAAGCTCCTAAAAAGCTAGTCTAAGACTCTAAGTAACTTTTTAAAAAGCTACTAGCTTAAACATGACAACTTAAATAAGCTAGCTTATCAGCTAGCTATGGCGTGCCAAACACAGCCTAAGACTTGTCTATGTGTTTGTGTGTGGATATATGTATAAGTATTTATGTAGATGCCTACATATTTATTAAATTAGTAGTAAATTTGACATAATGTGTTTTTGGTTATTTAGACGATGATAGTAAATAAACTTCTTTACCTTCTGTTTTTTCTAACAAGGAATATAAAGGCAACAAATTGGGTATTATTATTTAAAAAAAAAATCTGTAATAGGAAAATGAATGAAAGTACATTGCTATTTCTTGATTACAGCAAAATCGGATGGAATTTGTGTATCTCCTGGAGGTAGGTTTCCAGCATATTCAATTCAAGGGAAGCCTCCAAGAAAAGTCAACAAGGGACCAAATGATTTGACTCTTTGTAGAATCTTCCGGAAGAAAACATGTTGTGATGTCACACAAACTCATCCTGCCTTGCTGGCAATTAGGAGATTGGCTTCAACTGGAGAGGCGAGTGATGAATGCTTGCATTTATGGGAGCTTCTAGAATGTTCTATTTGTGATCCACATGTTGGTGTACAACCTGGATCACCTGTTATATGTGGCTCTCTTTGTGATAGGATTTATGATGCTTGCTCTAATGCCTACTTTGCTATGGATGCAAAGAATCAGGTAATTTACTTTTTTTTTTTTTTATTTGTGTATTATATTTATAGCATTCTACTTTCAAATTTTGTCTTGTTAAAATTGTTTTTGTATTTTAAAATATAATGTTTTAATAGGAGGAAATAAACAGATCAATGAAAACATTGTGATATTTTTTGCATTTAACTCTTTGTTTTTTTGGAATTAAGGGCTAGATTGATGTTTTTATTAACTTTTCTGAAGAATAAAAGCATCTTTTATGTTTCCAAATTAAATGAGCAAAATGTTTTTTTAGAACAATTGCTTTTTAGGTAGACAATGAAAGAATTAGCAACATATTAACTAAAATTTATATAACAAAATAAAGATTTGCTTGCATGTTGTAAAATTGTTTTGAATCATTCAACATAAATAGTCTTTTTAACATGCAGAAGTTGTGATGTTGATCATGTTTTAATTGTTGGATTTTTTTTTTTAATTTATAAAAAAGCACACCTTACTGCACATTTTATTGATTTAGCCACTTAACTATTTTTTAAAGTGATTAAACAAACCATTATATAACTTTTGACCATTTAAGATAAACATCTTTTCCAGTTATCAAATTCTGATATCAAGGCAAAATACAGAAAAACATGATGTAATTTCACCATTTAATTGATTTAACCTCTAAAATGTTCTTTTTATCGATTTAATCACCAAACTGTTGATTATAATTATCATAAAAAAAAAAACAATTCTTATCAATTTAGCTACTTACCATTGTATCGATTTAACCACTGAACTCTTACTATAATAGTCATAAAAAGAGTAAAGTGCAAATTTGGTCCTTGTGGTTAGAAAGTTTTATTTATTTATTTAATTTTTGGTCCCTATATCCAGTTTTCATTTCTGTTTTGGTCCCTAGGTCATCAACATTCACCGCTCAGCTGTTAAATTTGTTAAAATTACCAATTTGCCCCTGGCTCATCACTAGATTATATATTTTTTTTTTATAGAATTTGCAACCAAACTATTATTATAATTTTCATAATTAAAATAAAATGTTCTGAAAATAAATTTGGTAATTAAATTGATTTGATATGGTTTATGACAGGTGTTGGCTCCATGTGGAATGAGTGACACTGTTTGTGGAAGAGCATCTGAATGGGTGATAAATGGAACAGAGCTTTGTAAAGCTTCTGGGTTTTCTGTGAAGCCATTTAATGATTTTAAAGATACATTTTGTTATGGTGGAAAAGCAAGTCTAGAATCTGTTGTGGATTCATGGCGGAGTTCACAATCCGGTGTCACTCGGACCACCCAAAGTTCCGGTGTACTCCATCATTTTCAGCAGTGGGTCCGCCAAATGCCCATTAATGAACAAGTTTCATGGGCTGTTGGAGGATTGGTTCTTACTGCAGGCCTTCTCTTTGTAAGGTCAGATTTTCAGCCACTAATTTACAAATTTCGTCCCTCTCTTTGGTTGTTTCGCACACAAGGGTATTTTCGTCATTTCTTTTCTCTAGTTTTATCTCCTTGACACGTGATAAATTAGGTTAATTCCGCTTTAAATAACCTGTTTTGAACAAGAGTATTTTTTTAGATCATATTTAAAATTGAACAAAATAAAATCTTATTTTTTAATATAGTAATTACAATAAGAGAATAATAGAAAACTCAAAATAAGGGCAAAATAGTCATTTTACACGGACTTAACAGATTCGGTTTCATGGTGTTAAATTGAGCGTTGAAAAAAGATTCTTTTAGCTATGAAAACCAAAGAAAATGACAAACCTCAAGGACCATTTTCGCAGTTTACTAAAACGTAAACAAAATAACCAAATTTTGAACATGGCAGAGGACAAAAGGACGAAAATACCCTTGTGTGTGCAAAACACGTGATTTTGGAAGGATCAACTTCAAACCCAAAACAAAATGAAACCACAGTGGTCAAAAAAGCAACAAAATTTTTTTGTTTTTGGATAATAATATTGAAAACAAACAGTACAACACAGGGACCAACTTTGTAATTTACTCAAGATGTTGTGGAATTACTTATATACCCTTGTGATGGATGCAGTAAAAGGAAGAGCAGCTACTATCAGCGGCAACGACAGGCGGCTGTACAACGCACTGCAAGGAAGCTTGGAGGGAAAACAAGCCCCAAGTACCCTGCGAATCAAGCTAACAGAAAATGAAACTTGTAGATGAAATTTTACTATAATACCCTTTTAGTCTTGTAATATCAGTAGAAGGTTTTCCCTAAATTTTACAAATCTTGTGCTTTTTAGACATTTGAGTTTGTCCAGGGAACATATGCAGACTTTTTTAGAAGGTTGATGGAAGAACTTATTGGGATTTCAGTTTGTTAAATGAGCCAAGGCTGGACATGTTTTTTAGGGCTATTTTTGCTGGACACGAATATGTAACTACCCGTTCATATAGCCGCCATTTAATTTTTGGAAAATTTCAAGTCTTTTTTTTTTATTTGCTTAAATGAAATGATTCCTTATGTAGGAGTCCTAAATTACTAGTCTTTATTTTTTTAAAAGTAGCATGTTTAGGTTTAGTAATAGGAATTCATTGAGATTTAGAACTAAGGATTTCTTAATTTTGTTCTTTGTTGAAAATCCGGTCATATTTTACGTTATCAAAGTCTTATAAATCGATCAAAGCCCTCTTATAACTTGTGTCTTGCATGACAAATTGATGTATTAGAATTGAGGTCGACGACATCAGTTAGTTTAATTAATACTATTATGATCGTTGTTGCATGTGATGAAGGTAGTCCATGGACACATATGTTCTACCTCAAGTGGAGGAATGGCTAATGACATCAACACCCCCTTATCCCGCAAGAATGAGATTGTTGTTGGTATTGTTTTTGTTGTTAATGTTGTCGTGGTGGTTATTGTTAGATGTTGTTGATATTGATGGGATGATGTTATTGTTGTTGTGGTTGTTGTTGATGTTGTTATTGTGACTGTGTTGTTGTTGTAGATGCAGATGTAGCGGTAGATATAGTTGTTGTTATTGTAGTTGTAGTTATTGTTGTCTTTTGTTGTTATTATTATTGTTGTTGCTGCAACTTGATCTGTTGTTATTATTATAATTTTTCTTACGGCATGTTAGGTAGTCTCTTAAATTTTCAATTAAGAGACAGACTTTGATTTATTATTATTATATTATTATTATTATTAAATTTTTTTTTCCAGAGTGTTAGCTAGCCTCTTAATTTAGGCTCTTACTTTTTCAACAACCTCTTATCCTTTCGGACATAAGAGTATAAGAGTGTATTATAATAAAAAAAAAGAGGCGTATATTTAGTTACATCCAATCACAGATGGTAGACTCTAATCAAAGATTGAATGCCTCCGTATATTTAATAACAAAGTCCTTCTAAAACGGGCGATTGAGAAAAAATATATTCAAGAAGGTTTTCAGACGAAGACAAGTAGATCAACCAAATCAAGGTATGAGATTGTGTCTGTTGGGAAAAATTGTTCTTGGTTACTAAGAGCAAAAGGAATCAAAAATTTTGGCGGACTTTTTCAAGTGAATAAATTTGTTGACGTACACACAAGTTCTTCAACAATGTTGCAACCTAATCATCGACAAACAAACAAACATATTTTGGGTGAATATTTTGCTGATGATTTGGCTGAAGCTTATAGTAGAGTATATCAAGGACACGATATTGTTAACAATATGAATGCACAATTGAAAATCAGTATCTCATACCATCAGGCTTGACATGCAAAGCAGTATGCACTGTTGTTGTTAAGGGTTACCAAAGAGGATTCTTTTACCAAACTTTCAGCTTATTTTCACAATTTGGTCAAACATAATCTTGGCACGGTGACACATATTCAAACAGATGCTAATGATCAGTTTGAGTTCTTGTATGTCACACTTGGTTGCTCGGTTAGTATTACTATATATATATATATATATATATATATATATATATATATATATTTGTGATGTAGTTAACTATAATCAATATATTTGAATAGATATACAATGTATTGTAGGTACTCTCTTTTGTCAATTGTTGTAAGCTGACCCTTGTAGTAGATGGAACCCACCTAAAGGGCGAGTTCAAAGCTACCATGTTACTTGTAGTTACTAAGGACGGACACAACCAAATATTACTGGTTGCATATGGTATATGCAAAAATGAGTGTATAGATTCTTGGACATGGTTTTTTCAAAAACCACGTGATTGTATAGACAATATGGATGATCTTACAATTATATATGATAGGTCTCCATCTATAGCGACAACTGTTGCTAACATTTTTCCTCACGCTCATCACAGAATACGTGGTGTCTATTTGTATTTCAACATAGTAGCTAGATACGGGTAGATTAAGACAGTTAAATAAATTTTTTGAGAGGCTTGTAGAGCCTATACAATTGATGCTTTTAATGTTGTCATGGATAGAATGAGAAAGACAAAAGAACTAGTATGAGAATACTTACAAAGTATAAATCCTGAAACATGGTCTAGGGCACATTTTAGAGGCAACCAATACAATCTTATGTCGTCTAACAGTGTAGAGTCTATAAATGCATTATCTAGATATGCACGTAAGGTGCAGATACTGATGTTGATCGACTTTTTTCATGCAACAATGCAACAATGGTGGTTTCAAAGACGTAACTTTGCAGGTAGTAAGTTGTAATATTAATGTTTGTGTCAAATGTTGTTGATCTTAACTGTGTAATTTTCTCTTTTTTTAGTGGAAGCAACAATCACACTCACCCCCGATGATATTGTACAACAAAATAAAAATACTTTTACTAATTGGGATGTTCACATGATCTCAATTCTCAAGTAAGAAATGCGAGGTTAAAAAGGGGAGACAAAACGTTATTGTTGATTTCCAACTAATGACATGTACATGTAGGCACTGGCAACTTGACGGCATACCTTGTGGGCATGTCATAAGTGTGCTAACATTCAAAAGTATGATAATTGCTTGATGTATGCTTTAAAATCTTACAATACCGAAACATTGAGGAAAACATATGAGAAATCAGTGAACCCTTTTCCAAAGCCATCCGAATGGGAGATCCCCGATGGTTTGATGACTGTTAGGCCACCTATAATGGATAAACGTTAGCCAAGCAGGCCAAGAAACACGGAATGTATTCCGTCCCAAGGTGAGGGTCCAATAATAAAAGAGTGTTCTACATGCGGTCAAGCAGGACACACAAAAAAGTTGCTCTGGAGGGTGTCCGGTAGCGGATCAAGCCGTATGTAACACCCGTTGTCAGGTATTTTCATTTTCAACCCTTAAACATATTAATTAATTTCAAAACATACAATCATACTAACAAGAGTCACAAAGACAACAAACATGTACAAGCATATTAGTAAGTGTCACGAAGATCACTACCATCGTACAACATAATCCAGTGGGGCAACATTGGTGCCTTCGACCCACAAATATAGTGAGGAAACTTACCTGAACTGCTCAACAGAAGCCCAACAGCAACCTCAGCATCAGAACAGTCAACCCAAAATTCCTAAAACCAAACCAAGACCAATCCTTAGTCAAATACTCAATTCCACCCAAGTTTGACCGAAAGTCAAATTGGTCAAAAAGTCAAAAAGTCAAAGGCAGTCAACACAGACTGAGTATGCCTAACGTACTCAGTCACTACGCTCAACATAGTACATCCACTCCTGATTACAGGGCTCCATCCCAGTATATTCCGCGTACTGCCACGTACGTCCAACGTACTCGGCCAGTTCCGTTTTCCTTCATTAAGTGCTTATTCCATTAAGATCTCACGTCCAAAGCTCAAATCTAGTCCCAAATAATATTCTAAGTCATAAAGTTTCCAAATTTATGACTTTCAATGGCTAGAAGGAGTCCTCACACCAAAACCCTAACTTATTACACAAACCAATGCATCATAACTCTTGCATGGAGGGAAGAAAGACACCAAGATCACATTTTTATGGTTACTAACAACTTCATAATGGATAAAGTTTCCAACTTTACCCATTAGGATGGTCCACATTGTTGGATTAGGTGTCTAAGCTCATAACTATAATTGGTATGTACTTGAATTGATAGCAGCACAGTCCTTTTGGGTTGCCCTCAAACCTAGCAATTGGACAAGGAAATTATGAAAGGAGAGATATTGATTTATTATAAGATTAATAAATTAATATAAATGATTTATTAATATGTTAAAAATATTAATATATTAATTAGAAATCATAAGTTTTAATTAATAGTTAGCCAGAAATTAATTAGAATTAATTTTGG